TTTGACAACAAAAAAAATCACTTAGTTTTAAAACCAATTATGTTCCCTCTGACCACTACATTTCTGCCGTATTAACAAAATGAGGCAGTAGGACTGAGATTTAGAAATGACCTATGCCTTCCTGTAATTTAAACTCAAACACTTTATATTCTGCTCAAAATGAGTTCATTCTTTTAAATTGGCTTTTTATAACCACAGCTTTAGCAACAGTTGGAATGCCTAAATACTACCCTTAACCTTTAGGGAGAATGGCCTCAAATAAAAGCTGCCTGTAACTAGCAATAACTGAATTTTGAACGCTGGTATGCTATGTTTTTAAGACTTCATTTGAATGATTTTTTTCAAGTTCTGTATAACAAATTAGCTGGACCTACTCTTTATGTGGACTATAATTTAAATATGCTCATATTTTTATAACTTAAAAAAAATCTGCCTTGTGAAAACTTTAAAAATAAAATGTGTACTGGGGGGGGGGAGAGGAAGGAGGGGAGGAGAGGGGAAGAGAGGTGAGAAAAGACCACATGATCAAGAGCCAATGGTATTGAGGGAAGAAGGCCAAGCTGCACTGGAGGCCCTGGTGAAAAACAAGCCTCCAGGAATTGACAGAATACCAACTGAGGTGTTTCACCAAATGAACACAATACTGACAGTGCTCCCTCACCCACGCCAAGAAACTTGGGAGATAACTACCTGAAGAAGTGATTGGAAAAAAATGTGTATTTGTGTCCATTCCAAAGAAAGATGGTCCATTCAACTGTGGAGACTACCTAACAATAACATTAATATCACACCCATAAAATTGTGTTGAAGATAATTATAAGACAGTTGTAACAGTACATCAACAGGGAACTGGTATCAAATAAGGGATATCATTGTGGCATCAGAAGACTGTTATCTGAACGCAGAGAATATCAGAAAGATATTTACCTGTGTTTTATTGACTATAGAAAAGCATTCGATTGTGTTGTTGTTTCTGTTAAGTGTCGTGAAGTCATTTCCAACTCAGAGTGACCCTGTATTGGATTTCCAAGGAGCAGCTGGTGGGTTAGATCTGGAGTTAGAAAACCAAAGGCAAGAACATGCATAATGGTTCTCCGGCTGGAAGAACTTAAGGAAAAATTTAACCCATAAATTGCAATATTGAAGCATCAAAAGAACCTTGCACTTAGCAATCTACAGTGCCACACCTGGACTCCATTCAACTGTGTGGATCATAACAAATTACAGGTAACATTTCAGAGAATGGAGACTCCTGAACAATCCATCATACTCATGTGGAACCTGAGTTATAGCGTGATTTGCTAATATTATAATTTTCAGATGATTTACTAGCAGAAGTTCAAAGATTGAATTTATACAGACACTGATAATAAAAGGCAATAAAAGAGGCGTTTGTTCCAATAGAACAAGGGGATACTCCATGGTTTCACATCCCTGAAAGGTGTGCATCAGTCAGGGTTGTAGCTTTTCACCATACTTAGTCAATCTGTATGCCGAGCACATAATCCAAGAAGGTGGACTGTATGAAGAAGAATGTGGCACCAGGAAGAAGACTCATTAACAACCTGAGACATGCAGATGACACAGCCTTGCTCACTGACAGCAAACAGGACTTGAAGCCCTTACTGAAGAAATAAATGACAACTACAGCCTTCAATATGGATTACACGTCAACATTTTTAAAAAAACAACCCTAATAAGTGGGCCATTAAGCAACATCACAATAAATGGAGAAAAGATTGAAGTTGTAAAGGATTTCATCTTACTTAGATCCAGTCAACACCCATGGAAGGCGCAGTCCGGAAATTATAAATGACTTAGTGCATCGGGCAAATGTGCTGTAAAAGATCTCTCTAAAGAGTTAAACAACAAAAATATCATTTTGAAGAGTAAATTCATTTTGAATTTATAGATATTGAGAATAAAAAACAGTAATAATGAAAGCTAAAAAGGGAGGGGAGTACTTAGGCCAGAAACTACTGCTTCCTTGGAACAGAGCAGCCTCGAACTACACGTAAGCACTCATTAAACTGAAAATGATTTTGGGAGTCCCCAAGAACAGAACAAGGTAAGTCTCCTCCCCAGAAAGCGATGCTTTGAAAATCTGACCGGATTTTTAAATTTTCATGGAAAAACTCCATTATCATCTCTTTCCATTTTTCCCATGAACTTTTTGAAGTCCCTGGCACATTTGCAAAACTCCTTTAGAGTTTTCACAGAACGGTTAGAAACACAAAAAGGTAGTTTATACAATATACAATATTCCAAAGACCATTTCTGAATGTCAAGTGTACTCCCAAAAAACAAACACAAAACCCATTGCCACCAGAAATAAAAAGAAGAGAGGAAAAAAAAAAAAGTATTCTCATACAATTTGATGAACTTGACCTATATCTACATAGGGAAGCAGTAGCTCAAAAGAGGGAATCCTTACAGCAAGAATCATTCTCACCCCCTCCACACACAGAGTAGACAGGGATGGGCAACTTGGACATTGGCTACCCAAAATGGGGGGGGCTACAAAGGCAAGAAGTGACTGGCTTACAAGCTTTCAAGTGGGAACCTAGATCCAGAGGGCCTGGGGGAAGGCAGACTCTCTAATGAGTAGTATCCAATCTGACTAGGCAGGACTGATGCAATGAAATGCAGATGGGTCTCTTGTGATACAATAGTGAATAATTATCAGGACTGACTGTGAGGATTGGAAATGTAAAGGTAGAGGTTTTAGAGCAAGGAGGGGAGTGATTAACTTTTCAGTCTTGGAGCAGACGTCCCTAGGATCATCAAGGGAGAAAAGCAGAGAGCGGGACCTACCCAGAGAAGCAGTGATGCCTGAAATGGAGCCAGAGATGATGGCGTGGAGCGATGGAGCAGCTGGAGACTTTAGATCCAGAGAGGGAGAGAGACTGTGTGCTGAAGACCTGGGGGGTATGGGGGAAGGATTGCATGGAGGGGATTGTAACCATGGCAATGAGACGATATATGATAGAATGAATGTAAAACTAATGTTCTCCCATGTAGACTATCACATAATTCACAATTTATAAGAAAAAAAAAAACAACCCATTGCACGGCAGAGTATACCCTAAGGACACAGCAGCTGGTGGATTCGAACTGCTGTCCCTGAGGTTGACAGTTCGGTGCTTATCCTGCAGCGTTGTCAGGCTTTAACCCTCCAGCTGCCTGAATGAACTCGGGTTTCGGCCACACCCCCGACTTCAAGAGCTCCAGGCTAGGCCTCCGGGGCTCCCTCCTAGAAGGCCTAACTCGCGTCTGCGCCTTGAGTGTCGGGCGCTCGGCCCTGTCCCTGGGACCTCTCCCACGTGGGGCCGTGACGATGAGTGTTGGGCACTCGGCTCCGCCCCCGGGCGCCCCGCAGTTCCCCCCTCCCTCTCCCCGCCCGCGCCGCACCTCCCCTCCAACCTCCCTCCTCCAACCGCCCCGCGGGCTTGTCATGGCTGCAGCGGTGCTGAGACTGGCGCGGAGCTGGCTGCTGAGGCCCGGCCGGAGGTAGGCGCGGAAGCATCCCGGGAGGAAGTGTGACGCACCGCCTAGTATGCACGCCGTGGGTGCGCCGAGAGAGGCCCGAGTGCGGGCGTGCGTGCGACCCTCTGTGCTAGGACGAAAGCGCTGTTTGCGTACTTTCTGACGCTGTAGAAATGCAAGTCCGCAAAATCGGTTCAAATAATCCGCTTTTTGGAGAATGTTGCTGAGTGCCGACTCCTAGCGGCCGCGGTGCAGGGTTTCCGGGGAGTGGCCGGTGAGTTTGAACCTCTGACCTTGCGGGGACTGTCCGGGCCTCTGAAGAAGACGCTCGGCGGTGAGAGAGCCGCCGGCCTCCGGACCGGCAGCGGGAGCCCCAGAGTTTCTCCGATGTTTGCATTTTCTTAAAAGACCACTGTCTAAAAATCATTTTAAAACCACCTAATACTGCACCTCGTTGTGTGGGAGCTCTCAGTTCGGCTTTCTGTTTTCTCCTTGGCATTTGCTGGTCAGATCCACGATTGAGATTTCCTCCTTAAGATAGAGGAATTTCTTTATGCAATAGACAATTTATTGTGCCTTCATTTTATTCAATTTCTCTTGAAAAAGCGTTCGTTCGTTGTACCACTTGTATATAATCGTAGGGGAGATGAGACTTTCGCTGGGTTTGGGTCTTTATTTGTTACGTGTGTGTTTTATTGTAATTGTCTCTGATTCCAATAACGTTTTGCAGGTCAACATTGCGAGCCGTCACTTTAGTTTTAGGATTACAATACCGCGAAGGCTCTCCCACTCCTCCCCTCTGTTTACAAACACTTATCACCTAGCTGCGATTGTGGCGTGCGGGATAAAGCACTGAACCCAAGGGTGCTCTGAGTTAGCACCTGCTCAAGGGCACTTAACACCTTCTCCTGGCCGATTGGACATGGTGTCCTAGCTGGTTGATTCACAGTGCACCTCCTAGTGCCCGTTTCTCCGTTCCTCCAAGCATTTCTTGGTTCTTGTCCATTCTCCCGTGATTCCCCAGCTGTCTATGTTGCAACTGGTTTTGCTGAGCAGAGAGAAAATAGTTGATCTAAGTAATGGTTTGTTTGTGCCTGTGAAAGTGTAGGGGCTGTTGTGGACCTTGGAACTCATGGCTAAATTCCTTCTGTGCACTTTAACCCCCTAGATGTTGTGTCAGCCTGTGTTTTGCTGACCCGTGTCTTTAATTCTTGCCTGGCAAACTTTGGTTCTGACTGAAGGCTTTTATTTTACTTAATCTGAATTGCTTGTTAATAACAGTCAGTCGTGTGCAGTGTAGCGTCCTTTTCTGTATTCTTAAGGGACAGCTGTTAGCTTCTGTGCTGGTTTACTGAGGACTTGTTAAACACTAATCATTTGCAGCCAACTTGTGGGAGAAAGTGTAAGAAAATATTGACACAGAGACATGATGTTTTTTGGATGATGATGTAAGGGAACAATCAGAAATCTAAACTGCAGAGTACTGATGTCTGTCTGTCCGTAGTCTTCTGCAGGTCATTAGCTTTCCAGTACTTCAGCTACACACGAGCAGAGCAGCAATGGAAGCCAGTCAGAAGGACTTTGAGACTGCAATGCATCAGGTGAAACTCTTGAAGAAAGACCCAGGAAATGAAGTGAAACTAAAACTCTATGCACTGTATAAGCAGGTAAAGAAATGCCTAATGTCTGATACTGTGGAGAGACATTTTAAACAGATGACTTCAACTAGATGTGTGCTGTATTACTCAAATCCAGCTTTTACATTTTGGCTTTGTATTATAGCCTTTGCTCTGATGAGAGCTTTTCTATATTTCATCACTCCAGAGTGAAAGACGCTTAAAATATCTAACAACTAAATGTGAAGACCTTTGGATCTAATATGGATCTCAGTTAGAATAAACCAACTGAAAAAAGATCCTTTGAGACAATTGGGGAGATCTGAATATAGACTGGGTGTGTTAGATAAGTTATTGTCAGTAGCATCATGGTTATGTAAAAAATGTTGATATTCTTTAGAAATGTAGACTGAGTACATAGGCATGAAATAGTATGGTTTGGGAGGTTCACTAAAATAATTAAGCAAAAGAAGAAAATAAATGCAACACGTATGACAGGACTTGACAGTTATTGAATTCAGATGGTGAGCTTTGGCAAATTCATTATCATGTTCTACTTTTGTATAGTAAAATGTTAACCTTTTATAACATTTTGCAAGTAAAGCCTCTAAACTGTAGAAATAGACCCTCTGGGCTTTTGTGTTGTTTGCTTTTCCTATAATCTGAATTAGCCTGTCTTGCTTTCATATGGGTGTGGAGAGAAGAATTTACCCTTGACCAAAGGAAGGTCTGATTTTGCCCAAGGCTTCTGGGAGGTGATCCCTAGGCCCCTGGAATAGGAATGTCTTTGTTTGCCCTGAGGCCATGGGTTACACCAGATTGCCTAACAATGTGGTTTCAGGCAGGGACTGGCCACAGCTGGTAGTCACCTGTGAACTCTAAGTGAGCAAGTGAGTTTTGGGCCATACCTGGAGGGACTGGAGACTGAGACAGCCACTTGAGAGTCCCAGTAAAAGGCCCGGACATGTGTTGACCCACATTGATAGCTGAAGGATCGCATATTCTGACTCCACAGGGTCTGAACCCTTCCTGGATTCTCCCTGCACGTCTCTTCCCTTCATCAGTATATGCCCTTTCCTTTTAATAAGCTGTGAGTCTAACGACTTACCATGAGTTTTGTGAGACCTTCCAGCATACTTTGGGAACTCCCTGAACTTGGAGTTAATGTCAGAAGTGAGGGTGGTCTTAAGGACTGTGGTCTTTTTACCTTCTCAGTGGACTTAATCTCAAGTGTGGCTCTCTGCCTGTAGCTTTTGTCTCTTTACTCCTTTGGATTCAAAACACTTTCCTTTTTAAACTGATTATATGAGGTGGCTTCGAAAAGTTCATGGAAAAATTCCATTATCTTTTTATTCCTTTTCTCCACAAACTTTGAAGCCGCCTCATAAAGTTAAAAATTTTAAATAGAGTTTTAAATTGCCATTTCTAAAAAATAGCTAAGTGGGATATTTTCTCTGTTGCAGAACACCCTGTCACCTACTTGGAACAAGTACAACTGAGATGTTGTTTGTCTTTTACTTGCATGCCCTTCAGTTATGTGGCAACCCTCTCTACAGTTACTGCTTTGTTTCCTGGTTCACCACTGAATGAGTAGTGTTTACTCAGTGGGTTTCTAAATGCTTATTGGCTGATTTATTGTTGGCTTATTTATAAAATATTGCCAGAAGATTTTGATTATATATGAAGAATGTGGTCATCAGTATAAAACTAAGTAACTGTGAGAATGAAAAAAAGGGGAAAAAAAGCAACTCCCCAAAACCTTTATCCAGTAGTACCTTGCATATGGAAGGCAGTTCTAACCTATTTTAGGGACTGGACTGATGGTTCATAGGGCATTTTACTTCTCTAGCCTCTTTACTGTTAATTTGTGTATTTTTCAAAGCAATATAAAAAAAAAGGGCAGGAGAGGCAGGGAGAAATTCAGATCAGTTAATGAGCCCTGTGAAAGGTTTTTGTGGCGGGGGGAGGATGTCGGTCAAGCCCTGTGAAAGGTTTTTGTGGCAGAGGAGGATGTCGGTCAAGCTTTCCTGTAACTGAGGTTTATGGGTCTCAGGTTGACAGGGCTTCAGTGGGTATTTGAGCAGTCACAGTTCCTCTCCTTTTCACAGGCCTCAGAAGGACCTTGTAATGCGCCAAAACCAGGTATATTTGATTTGATCAATAAGGCCAAATGGGACGCATGGAATGCTCTTGGGAGCCTGCCCAAGGTGAGTTTACGTTTCCTGTGCTTTTATTTTACTTTCCCTAAGGATACCTACTGTTTGTAATTAAGCATTTGTAGATGGAACCTTCTAGATCTTGATGTACCTCTCTATCCTCTTCATTGCAAAGGACTGCTTTTTTCCTGTTATTCAGTGTTTCTCAGAGTGCTTGCTTGTTGGTCTGAAGCTCCTTGCCTTGTCTTCTTCAGGAAACTGCCAGGCAGAACTATGTGGATTTGGTGGCCAGTTTGAGTTCCTCCGAATCCTCTAGCCAACGGAAGCCTGGTGCAGACAGCAAACAGTCTGGGTATGAAACTCTTGTGGTAACCTCCGAAGACAGCATCACAAAGATTATGTTCAACCGTCCCAACAAAAAAAATGCAATCACCACTCAGGTACTTACTGTCTTCTTTCCCAGGAAGCTGGTCTTGCCTTTCTTTCAAACACTATCATTTTAACAGCATTCCTGTTTTTGTGTTATCGCTCCTTTGGTTGTACAGGAAGGTTAGTAATTGTGGTCACGTCTTACTCAGCAGAGGTGAGCAGTCAGAGTTTAGAACCAGTGAGCCTCAAGTGGGGTCTGTACACAAGGAAGGCACTTGACTTCCCTAGTAATGGAAGCAAAAAAAAAAAAATTTCAATTAATATATTTGAAATATATGCTGATATCAACAAATATAGAGGCAGGCTGCGAACCTTAAGGTCAGCAGTTCAAAACTACCAGCTGTTCTGCGGGAGAAAGATGAGGCTTTCTGTTCCCGTAAAGATTTACAATCTCAGAAACCCAGTGCAGGGTCACTATGAGTCGGAACCGACTTCATGGCACACCACCACCACCACCACCAAGGTTAGTAAACTTGTCATAGGATGCTCCTGAGGTATCTTCATGCTGGGTAGATTTGAGAGTAAGTACAGTTCTGTTGACTCTGACTTAGTTTTAATATAAACAGCGAGAGAGAAAGGAGAGTACAACTTTGTGGTAAGTAGCTCGTGACCTACCTCTGCTTGAGATGAGTGACTTTACAGGGCAACTTTAGTCTGTTGTTAATGAGAATAATAGTACAAAACAACCACTCTATCCATTTGCCTCCCAAGCCCCGCCCTTGAAAAAAGTTATTTGAATGCTTGGTGCTGAACCAGGAGTAAAATAAGAGGGCAGACTCAATAGTAACTGAAAACAGAACCGACTGAGTATGTCATCTACATTGTAATAGATAGAGTATCCGACCGGACCAGTTATGATGAAAAGATCCCAGCTCTTGCCAACCCTGCAGAGTAGTACTGCTCCATAGGGTTTTCAAGGTTCTCATCTTTTGGATGCAGATCACCGGGACTTTCTTCCTAAGTGCCTCTGGGTGGATTTGAACTGCTAACCTGTTGGTTAGACAAGCACTGTATGCATTTTCGCCACCAATGGACTCCTAAAAAGAGCATATGAATTTAAAATAATCTTAAGGAATGATTCCTTAGAGTTAGATATCTGCCACTCTATTAGTAAAGCATTTGATTTGCAAAATTTATTTCCATTTTCCCTGACTGGCTCCTAGTAGGAGCATGGTGCTAATAGTAAATGGATGTTCTTAATGCCATGCCTACCAAGTGTTAGCACTTTTCACACAGAGGTTCGTTTGATTTTCATAAGGAACTTTCTAAAACATCATTATTTGATAATGAAATCATTGGAGCGCTTAAGCAGTAATTTGCTCAAGTTCACATAACCAATAAGCAGGAACCCGAATTGAGAGTCCTCATATATCTGACTCCTAAACCTGGTGCTCACCAGCCATTTTGTTGTGCTATGTTGTCATAACTCTAATACTGATAGAATTGTTTCCTCCTCCCCTCCCTTATCTGTATTCATACGTTATGTAGAGTCCATATGTTTTTAGCCACTCTTCCTTTGTCTCCATAATTACCGACCATTCCTTCCCACATTGAAATCTTACATAAGTTAGGAGCTGTACTTATTTTCCGTTTATTACAAGTTGTAACAGTGACACATTCAAGGTTTTCAGAGATTGGATTGGCAGGGTGGCAGCATAACAGGAGCTGTGAGATTGACCACAGGACCCTGCAGTATTTCCTTCTGTTGTGCATCAGGTCACAGGATCAGAACCTACAAGGGCACCAAACAACAACAATTATTGGTTTACAATGCTGGGTCCATTGACTTTGTGTACCCTTACGGTGGTTAGGCATTCATTAACACTTCCCAGATGGCCAGAAGCTTTTCTGCTCTATCTTCAAGTCACAGCTTAAGCAAGGGGTTATAGAACATGTTCTATCGCTTATCCTGCCTTTTCTATGTCTTCTCTGAGCTTCCTGGTGCCATAGTCTTTGCTACCCCTCCCCCATTTTAGCACTATTCAAGGAAAATATTATTTTTTAATTCTCCTTTTCCAGAACTTTATAGACTTCTCATACAATCCTCTGTTAATTCCAAAAGCTCAAGAGCAACCTCTCTTTATTAGAAAAGTGCTTTTATCCCCCGGCACCGACTGTAACACCTGGCAGGATAAGCACTGGACCACAAGGTCATTTGATTCACAAGGTTGGAGGCTCAGACTCACCGGCCGCTCCTCTGGAACCCTGTACAGGGTCACTGTGAGCCAGAACCAACTCAACAGCACTTAACAGCAGCAACAGAAACATAATAAGTACCAAGAACTTGTCTGTAGACGCAGTGACAAACCCTTCAGATGTACTAGTCTAGCTTTTACGTCATTGAAATACAACCAGTGTAAATGCTTGATGCTTTGCAGGGAATTGGCTTTGCGTACTGACGTTCAGTGAATTCACTGGGTGTTGGTACTCATTTTCTGAGTTTGTTTTGTTTTCCTCATCTTCCCATTCATATAGATGTATCATGAAATCATGCATGCACTGGACGCTGCAGGCAAAGATGACTCAGCCTTCGCTGTGTTTACAGGTAAGATGTGATCTCAGTTCCTAACTATGTTTCCATTCAGGGTGGGGTTCTTACTATATTGGCAGTTATAAGATCTTTTGCAGTTTAGAGATGCTGTCATTCATAAATATGCAAGAAGTATGATAGACAAAGAATAGATACCTTTATAATGTAAAAAGTAGGTACAAATTGGTAAGAAAGGCATTAAGATCCATTAGATTAAAGGGTGAGTAAACTGAATAGCCAACTTCCATGAGAAAGTACAGGGATTCAACAAACAAGGGAAAAATGTAACTTTATTAATAACCACATATGCAGATTAAAATTAGGTGCCATCTTGCTGTTGTTTTAATTATCTAAATGAACAAAGTAGCTTTCTAAATGATACCTGACTGACAAAGTAGTGGGGTCCTGGGTAGTACAAACAGCATGATAAACCAAAGGTTGGAGGTCTACCCAGAAGTACCTTCAAAGCAAGGCCTAGTTGCTTGCTTTCAAAAGAGCGATCGTTGACTCGCATATAAAGCACAGCTCTGCACCAACACAGGCTGATGCCGTGACTCACACACAACTCCCCAGCAGTGGGTTTGGTTACTGGGAGAATAAACCAGAGAGGGCATCACCATTGAGTCAGTTCCTCCTGCACAGCAGCCCTGAGGGACCGAGTCATCCTGCCGCATCGGGTTTCCAAGGCTGTGTGTGTCTTTATGGAAACTGACTGTCTCGGCTTTCTCTCACCAAGCGCTGGTGGGTTCCAACTGCTGACCTTACCAGGGCCCCTAATGGTCCAGTAGGGCCCTTTAGTGTCTTGCTGGAACCACTGTGAAGGGCTATAAAAATGTAACTAGTTAGAGGAAGGGGAGATTTGGCAACATACAAAATACATCCTTGGACCTAGGAATTCCACTTGAGGGAACTTATTTTATGGAAATAGTCCAAGGAATGGGAAAAGCTTTTTGTAAAAAAAAAAAAGATAATCGTTTCAGAATTACTTATCATTATGAAAATGTTGAGAAAGTCTAAACATATTGTCAGAATAATAAAGCAAATTTTAGCATATCCACTAAACTATTTAAAAACTTTTAACTGTAAAGACCAACAATATTGAAAATAGAATATTTTTTTAAATTAAAAACTTTATCTGTGTTGTAATTATAACTGGAAAATATTATGTATGCCCATGGACCTGGACAGATGACAACATACAAAAAGAAATTGGAAGAAATAGGATTTGGAAGGGACACTCCAGACTTAGATCAACTTGGATGTGAATCCCAACTTGGAACTTCCTTACTAATTACAATGGCTTCTGCTCCCTCAAGAGTCCTGGTGTGGTGCTGTGGGTTAATGCACTAGGCTGCAAGGTCGGTTTGAACCGCAAGGTCCAGGGTTCAAGCTCACCAGCCCTCCTCAGAAACCTTATACAGGGTTGCAACTGACTTGATGGCACTTACCCACAACAATAGCTGCTCCCTCCGTGAGGAGGACAGTTTTCTAACCCCTCTAGCTGAGATGGCTGGAACACTGGAGATGTCTGGGACAAAGCTGGCACTTGATAAATGTAGTTACTTGTTTTAACAGAACAGGAAGCATATAATACATACATATTGTACTCAACTTCACTTTCCCTTCTTAAAAACATCTAAAAATTGTTATGTATCCATACATACTCTGAGTTATTCATTTCATGACTGTTGTTAAGTGCCATGGAGTCGGCTCATAGTGACCCTGTGTAGGGTTTCTGAGGAGCTGCTGGTGAGTTTGAACTGTGACCTTGTGGTTCACAGTTCAGTGTCATGACTAGGGAGTAAAACTTTTGGGATTCCATAATTTTCTTTATCAGTTCTCTACTGATGAATGTGTATATGCTTAGTCTTTTGCTGTTAAAATGATACTACAGTGAATATTCCTCATATGCCTTATGTCTTTCAGCTAACATGTAATATTTCATAACAATTAGAGTTCCTTTAATTGCAAGAAAGTTGAAGCAATTTGTTTGGTTTTCCATTTCTGTTATTAATTCCTAATTTAATAGTGTAATCATCAGAGCTGATCAGTTTTGCTAGTTTTCTTTTTTATACTCTATTAAACTTTTCCATATATGTTGCTTTAGATCAACATTGCTACCTTGAAGATAGAAAGTTAGAAGATGTCCAACTATTTATATTACCCAGGAAGTTAGAAGATGTCCAACTATTTATATTACCCAGGACCACTTCTATTTTCCAAGCATAGAGTTAAATATATATTCATTAGACTTGACTTTCTCAGTAGGTTATTTAGATTCCTTATATTCTGTTCTTTCCTTCTAATAAATCTACCTTGAATTGGAAAAAATACTAAAAGCATCTATTACAAACCCACCAGCCACTCCTTGAAACCCTATACAGGGTCACTGAGTCAGAACCGACTTGTTGGCACTCGACAACAACAGCATTACAAAAGGCTAATACTGTCCTAATGTAGTGCTATAGAATAAGCACTGGACTGCTGACCACAAGGTCAGTGATTTAAACCCACCATCCTCTCCTCAGACGTCTCTTCAAGCATGTTGTGGTTAAGTGTCATGGACTCTGTTCCAACTCATAGCGATCCAGTTTAGGGTTTCCGAGCCTTGTGTTCAGCAGTTCAGTGCTGACCCTATAGTGCCACACCAGGATGTGGCCTGTGAAATAGTGTTTCATTATCTTCTGCTGTTGAATAGTGCTCTGCAGAATCCGGTTACCCTTGACTTTTCTGTTTAGCTTTATAAGATGACCATTTTTTCCCCCCAATAGACGATGGATGCTTTGCTTGCTTGATGATTATTCACTTTTTCCTAGGACATGCCTCTCTTTTTTAACTGCTGAGGCCTTCTTGTAAGTTTTCTTTGAGAATATTTTTGAATATTTTATTACATTTGCTCTGTTCTTTCTGAGAGAGATTGCATTGTGGAGGAGAAATGTCTGGCTAGTTATGTTTTGTTCCATTCTCTGAGATCGCTCTGTTAGGTCGGTCCTGCACGGAATCTCTGATGGTTTTTTAATAACATCTCTTCTTTTTGCTGCTTCCAATGAGCTCATCCCTTAAATGGTTGTGGATTTCGTTTTCGTTCTTTTGCACGAACTCTGCCACATCACTTTTCCTTTCTTGGGTCTATCACATCTTTTCTTAGCCTACTTCCACAAGACAGTTCATTTCTTAGTTTTTTTCTATAATAAAGTACTAACTTTAGGGAAAAAAAAGTTTTATAGCTCATCCAGTTATTGAAAATATTATTTGTGGCAGTTTTCTTCTGGTGGAAACATAGAAGAAAATTCAAGAACAAATCTTGTAAAAATATAAACCAAAACAAATGCAGTCCTTTGATTCTCAGTACTTCAAACACAACTGTCAAACAAAATCCCTGCCAAAAAGCAAGCATGACCTTTGAATTTTCTCTTTGATATGTATCCCTTAGCCCACTTGACTCTGGTATCTGCTGACCTCACTTCTCCCATGACCTGTGTGTCACTTTCCAGACCCCATGTGGCATTCCCTCCTCCTCCAGCCTCGCTCTTTCTTCGCTCCTTGTTTGCCTTCCATCTCCAGCTGCTCCTTGGCAACTCTCCAGCTGTCCCATCCTTGTGGAGTCATACTCCTCCACCTGGCGTTGTGGAGGAGTTCCCAAAGGCCTTTGCCCTCAGCACTCCACTCGCCCTCTGCCCTCTTCCTGGATGGTCTGCAGGCCCATAGCTTCAGTGCAGCACATGCTAGTGACCCCCACATGGGTCTTCAGTTCAGGACGCCACGGATCTCCTTTCAACCATGTCTCTGGATCGTTTCCAGTATTCCCACATCATGGCTCCATGCCCATCCTGTTGTGCGACTAAAATTCAGCATTTATTATTGACCCTCATCTTTCCCTTACATCCCATATCCAGTCTAATCCTATTTCACTTCCTCGGTGTGAGGGGACTTCAAAAAGTTCATAGAACAATTCCATTGTCTTTCAGTTCATTTTTCACACACTTTTTGAAGCCCTTTTGTATCTCTAAAAGCACTCTTTATTTATTTTGGTCTCCTGTGTCCTGCTCCAGGCTGCCACAGATTGGTGTATGACTCAGTAGGCCTCCCTCTCTCCTGTGCCCCAGTTTAGTCTTTTCCCAAATAAAAACCTTTTTCCTCCTGCTTTTAAGTGCTTCAGTAGCACCAAGGAAGCTGTGTGAATGAAGAATTCGTTAAACCAGTGTTGCTGGAGTCAGTGTATATCCATATGGAAAAAAAGTTAATTCTGACCCTATCTTACTCCCTACCCAGAAATTTAAAATTTATCATTTCTATGAGTCCTGGTGTGGTACTATGGGATAAGCACTGGACTGGTGTGGTTCAAACCCTCCAGCTGCTCTTCAGAAACCTTAACAAAGGTTTGTTTTGGGTTGGAACTGACTCGACAGTACTTACCAACAATAACAACAAAACCAGAAACATAAAGCTTCTAGAAGAAAGCATAGAGTATCTTTGTAACTTTGAGGCTGGCAGAAATTTCTTAGGCAGGACACAAAAATCTTTGATCATTAAAAAATATATAAATTGGACTTCATCTCAAAATTTTAAATCTTTGCTTATCAAAAGACAGCAACAAAATTAATATAAAGGACACGGACTGAAAAAAGTATATGTAGTGTATATATCTGCCAAAGAACAAATATGTGAAGAACTCCTACAAATTATTAATAAAAAGATGAACAACCAAATTTCAAAATTGGGTAAACAACTTTAGGAATTCACAAGAGACGATATGCAAATGGCCAAGAAGCACATGAAAATGGTCCTCGATATTCCTGGTCATCGGTGAACTGCAAATTACAACCACAATGAAATGTTTCCCTAATTAGAACAACTGAAACCCAGAAGAAAGATGATAAATCATGTGAGTCAACTGGCATTCTTACACCTTTTTGGTTAAGAACATTTTGAAGAATTGTTTGGCAGCCTCTTACAATATCAAGCACACGTCAGCTCACTGATCCACCATTATGTCTTAAAATGACTTTGTGCAACAATGAACATTTAATCCATACGTGGATGAATCTTAAAAACATAATTCAGCAAACTTATATAAAGTTCTAAAACAGACACAACTAATCTATGGTGATAGAAGTCAGAAAGTGATTGCTCTGGGGCTGGCGTGGGGGAGGGACGGGCAGAATGGTATAACTAGTAAGGGGCATAAGAGAACTCTGCGGTGATGAGAATGTTCTCTATCTAGTTTCAGATTATCATTACATGTGTTTTCACCACTTAACCATACTGAACATAAAAGAAGTAGTCATTGCATGTTAACTATAATTTAAAAAACAAAGCCATCACTAATGACTCCAGTGCTCAGAGGAAAGGCAGAGCCCACAAAGCCCTGCTCCACCCTCCCGTCCTGTTGTCTTTCTACAACAAGCTCTTTTGCTGGCTTATCCTGCTCCATGCCTAGTGGCACATCTTTCAGCCTCTCAACATAGCAGATGCTCAGTAATAGTTGAATGAATGGTGAATTTGTGGATTTTACTTTTACAGGAAATGGTGACTATTACTGTAGTGGAAATGATTTGAACAACTTCACTAATGTTCTCCCAGATGAAGTGGAGGAGAAAGCCAAACATTTTGCCATTTTACTGAGGTAAGATTGACAGTCCTGTGATTTTAGAGGGCTCACCCTTGTTCATCAAAGTGCTACTGAGCTGAACAAAGGAGACTGTGCACGCCTTTGTCAGTGTCATTGTGAGTGTGGATCAAGCCCATTTCTTCAGACAGCCTCCCTCAACATGTGGGTACTGGTTCCATCACTTTGTCTTCTGTTGGCTGATCTTTATGCCACTCGACATCATATGTGACTGGAAAGCATCAAAATGGACCCCAGCTAGAAATAAAACCCTCTTCTGTTGAGGTGCAGAAGTTTAGCACACGCTCCTTAAGCTAGACCAGTGCATGGCTACCATGACTTCTGGTACAAGGAGACTTGCATGGTCGTGAAAAGCAAAAATAGACCTGAGGTGTCTCTGTTCTATTCATTCTCCCTGCTGAATCCCCAGGCCCAGGTTTAACAGCACTTGATCCATCACCATTCTCACCTCAAAGGGTACAGCCCCAACTAGACTGCCTAAAGTGCAAAATTCACGCCAGGGTACACTTCAGGATTACGGTGTCTGACTCCATGAAGACCACTCAAATGATTGTTTCAGATGAGTTTGGTGGGAAAGCATGTGAGTGACAAGCCTAGCAGCACTGCGGGTTGCAGTTTTGGAAACACCCTGACTAGGAGAAGGGCTTGTTAACTCAGTGTCCTAGCTGGCTTGCCTATAATTGGTAGTGGTATTTTGAAAACTTAAACATGCTTTTATGTTTCCATTTCTGTAGGAATTTTGTAGACTGTTTTATCAATTTCCCTAAGCCTTTGATTGCAGTGGTCAATGGCCCAGCGGTGGGGATCTCCGTCACCCTTCTTGGGCTTTTCGATATCGTGTATGCTTCTGACAGGGTAAGTCAGCTCCCAGAGAGAGATGAGGGTAGGAAACGGATTTCACAGGGTTTCTTATATAACTTTATATTTTTATCAAAGGTAGAGTCTAATGAATTTGACTACTTTTATTTTTTCCTTCACTATTGACTTGAATTTTCTTAAAAAGCAAAACTGTAGTGAGCATTTTGCCGGCTCTTTTGTGGTTCTATATTCTAATTAAGTTAGACACTTGTTTCATTTTCATTGTTGTTAATATTACTCTAAAATAGGAGACACCTGAACACTTGTTATTGAGACAAAATAGCATATTTTTAGATTATTTGATACTCATATTCAAGTAAATGCATCCTGGAATTTAGAATTTTAGAACAGGAAGGGACAGCAAGCATTGACTACTTAACTCCTTCATTGCACTTTAGTTAGCTGAGTCCAGGAGACGTTACTTGTCCAAAACACACTTTGACTTTGTAATCTTAAAGGGTTCATCCTTGAATTGTATATATTAATTTTTATTCTTACTAGTAATGTATGTCATAGTAGAAAATAAAATACTGAGAAATATGAAAAATTGGGGCGGGGATACTGCCTACAGTGGGGCACAGAACTTTTTGGGCAGTGGGAATAGTCTCCTTGATTGTGGTGGTGGTCACATGACTGTACATTTGTTAAAATTTATCAACCTGCACACTTTGAAAGAATGGGCTTTACTGAGTATACATTATACCACAATTCTAATTTAAAAAATACATATTTTCTCAATCAGATATAGGACCCAAACCAAATCCATTGCCACTGAGTTGGTTCTGACCCATAGTAACCCTGTGTAGGGTTCCAGGACTAAATCTTTATGGGAGCAAACAGCTTCATCTTTCTCCCACGGAAGGACTGGTGGGTTTGAACTGCTGATCTTGTGGTTAACAGCCCAACACCTGACCCACAATCCTGATTTATTTTTTAAAATATTTTCTCAGCCCTAGTGTGGCACTGTAGGATAAGCACTGTACTGCTAACCACAAGGACAGCAGTTTATACCCACCAGCTGCCCTCAGAAACCCTATACGGGGTTGCTGGGATTGAATCAGTGATGTACAAGAACAGTCAAATGTATAATAAAATATAGTGAGGACAGAGGTAAATGGTGGCTTTTTAAAAAAAATATTACTTACGGAAAAAAATCACATATGAAAAAATGGTTGTTTTTTGTTTCTCAAATAGGCAACATTTCATACTCCTTTTAGTCACCTGGGTCAGAGTCCAGAAGGGTGCTCCTCGTACATGTTCCCGAAGATAATGGGCTCAGCCAAGGTAACTTTTGGAAACCTGAAAAATAGAATTTAATGACTGATCTATATTCTAATTTAGGAAGTCACATCTATTCAAAACACACTCGTTCCCCAACTCTATGTGTTTAATGTATGCAGGGCCCAGACTTTGGGAAGTGTCTATGGCAGAAAATGAGAAATTCTTTGTGCACCTCCAGAAGTCAGGACGGTGTTTGTCCATCTGGCGGCTGCAGTGCCACACATTGTGAACAGCACAGGGCTTTGTCCTCAGTCACCGGACAGTAGCAGTCTGTTGGAGGACTCCCAAGTCCTCTGAGCTCAGGCCCCACTTCACTGCTCTGTGCATGTGGGTGTGGAAAGGGCCTTGTGAGTCAAGGATACTCAGGCTCCATGGAGTTATAACTTTCAAACCCAGTCTCAGTAGCTTTCTCAACCACCCATTGTGCTGCCGGTGTGTTAAGGTTCCCAGGGTGGAACTTAGTGGCCCATGCCACCCTGATGACAGGGTCAGAGCCACAAGTCTGGAGAGCTAGCAGACGGGGCAAGACATAGGCACATTCTTCAAGATCTGAAAGGATGGAGAGGGGGCTTGAGCCTGTTTTTGTTGACTGAGGTTTTGTTTTTCTGTAAGTATTTTTATTTTAAATGTTGAGAATATTACAGACCCTGAAGTTTTTTTACTTTGAAAAATGTAGCAGAACCAACTCGAGGGCTTATGTCATTAGCGTGTGACGTTCGTAGGTCTTCTCTGGAAGTGAAGTTGCAAACTTTAAAAAGGCCCACTTGGTAATTCAGTATTTTCGCAGTTATGTTTGAAACTGCAAGTGTCCTTTATTTTATGCAGTCAAATAGAATTTGAGTACTCTGTCAGTAGACAAAACTGTCAGGGGTAGAAGTTTCAGGGTTTTTACAGTTTGACCATGATTTGTCAGTGGAGGCCTCGTATGTAGACCTGACATCGTAGGTGCTGCGGGGTGGACAGTGAGCATCTGTGCCAGGTTTCTGCTGCCCCTCCACACAGACACACAGGAGCAATTGCCGTACACTTCTGTGGGGAGTACTTAGGGGAGTCTCAGTGTGGTTTGCAAACTATTGGCAGGCAGGTCATCTACTGAATAGTAATTTTGAAGTTAGACGAAGCCTTTGTTTTATGAAGTTTACCACTTTAATCTTGCTTTTCATTTCAGGCAGCTGAAATGCTCATCTTTGGAAAGAAGTTAACAGCCAGAGAAGCCTATACTCAAGGACTTGTTAGTGAAGTTTTTCCTGACAGCACTTTTCAGGAAGAAGTTTGGACCAGGCTGAAAACATATTCACAGCTCCCTCCAAATGTTAGTACACTTACAAGAACCAAAGAAATAATTCCCTAAAGGATGCATATATTAAGAGAACAAGTAATACATAGACAAGACATTTATTTGGTTGTCTTCATTGTTGTTTTTAAGTGCCATCAAGTCGGTTCTGACTTCTAGCAATTCTGTGTAGGGTTTTCAAGGAGCATCTGATCAGTTTGAACCACCGATCTTGTTGTTAGCATTCCAGTACTTCTCCTACAGCACCATGCACATCTAAATTTGGGATTAAAAATAATAGTGACTTTTGCAAGTGTACCATAAGCATTTCACTTCTACGAAGAAAAGGTAGCGGGGCAGTACTCTGTGGGGATAACTTTGAGGAAGATGGTAGACAGTATTTGCAGATCACGTTTATCCTGGAATTCAGGTGACAGCGAGATCAGTTGACTGTGTATCAGGAGACCCTGATAGTATCACACTTTCTTTACTACGTGTTGTAGCTAGTACCTGACTATTCCTTAGAATCTTGCTGTTTGCTGTGTGGGTCTGAAATCCGTAGCTTTTTAGCACCTATCTAGGAGCTTAGAGATGCGTATCACTTGAGGCCCTGCTCTTCACTGACTGATTCAGTCTTTCATCAGTTTGCCAGGGGATGGTTTGCACATTAAAGTTTGAGAAGCACTCTTTTATAGAATCTTCCTGGGTGGTCCTGATGGGTTACATGTTCCCCTGCTAACCACAAGGTTGGAGATTTGAGCCTACACAGAGATGCCCATGATCTGCTTCTGAAAAATCAACCTTTAAAAATCCGCTGAGCACAGTTCTAGGCTGACATACTAGGAGTCACCATAAGTCAGTGGTTTTACTGGTCTCTTACATGTATCTTTGATGAGTTTGAGCAATAGGGAAATAAGAATTAGGATTATAGAATAATTCCACTACTATTAGAACTATTTCTGACCTGATTGTTGGTTTGTTTTCCTCAGGCTATGAAAATTTCAAAGCAGCTTATCAGAAATGTGGAAAAAGAAAAGCTACACGCTATTAATTCTAAAGAAAGCAGTATCCTCCAGGACAGATGGCAGTCAGACGAATGTATAAATGCGATCATGAACTTCTTTTCTAAGAAAGCAAAACTATGAAGACTGTTAGAACCAAGTCAAGGGCATCTAAGAAAGTGGTGTGATACAACTCTGATCACTAATGCTTGAACTAAATAAACTTCAATTGTGCCTTTTTCAGTGCTAACATCTCTCTTGTGACAATGGTACTTAACCTGATGGGGGAAAGAATTCTGTAGAGTAAGCTGTAAGGATTTGCATAGGAACCTTACATCCTTTGACATGAATTGCTGTTGCCAGGAACACTGAACATGAATTGCTGTTGCCTGGGCTCCTGCTCGAAAAGGCATTCACAGCATTGCACGCTGAGGTCACGTCTTTAAATACCACCACAGCACTCTGTCGGCCGCAGTGCGTGAATGACTGGATGGGGCCGAACACTGACAGCTTCTGGATGACAGACTGGATATCCTCTGTGGGCTGCAGGTTCCTCTTCAGCCATCTAGCAAAGGAAGGTGGTATATTACTCGAAAATAAATCAGAATCTCAATGTAATCTTTTTCATAATTTAATAACAAGGTATGAAGAAAGATTTGCATCATTTCATTGGAAAGCAATAAGTACTCTGTTGTTAAATACCATCAAGTCAGATATAGCAACTTTTATAAAGTTTCTGAGGAGTGGCTGGTAGGTTTGAACTGTGGATATTGGATTAGCAGTCCAGTGCTTATCCTACAGTGCCACATCAGGACTCTAGTAAGTTCTGTATCAGTTACTATTATTTCCTGACTTACGATACAGTCTACATTCTGGTTTCATGGTTCTAAAAGGTATCCATGGGAGTAAGACGGGGCAGTCTGCTGCCATAAAGATTACAGCCGTGGCATCCCTATAGGACAGCTCTGCTTTGTCCTGTACGGTCGTCATGAGTCAAATTGACCCATTGCAGCAGGTTTGGTTTCGTTTGGGTAGGCTATTAACGGTCCTTGCATTTTTATTTTAATACATTCCACATACATCAATTGACTAATCATTGTTTTAATTCTGTTTGTATCGGTTGATATATATGTATTAATTACATTAAGTATATGATTAAAAGGCTATAAAATTAACATAGAACATTTTACTTTCCTATGTATTTTCCTTCAGTATTCACAGAAGCAGCAGTCAATAAACAATATATTTCATTAGACAAATCTGCAAAAGACCTTTTTTGAAACATTAAAGACCAAGGTGTTAGTTTGGAGGACTAAGGTGTACCTGACTTAAACCATGGTATTTTCAGTCCTCTCAGATGCATGTGAAAGTTGGACAGTGAATAAGGAAGACTAGAAAAGAATCAATGCATTTAAATTGTGGTGGTGAAGAATACGAAAAGTATCATGACTACCAGAAGAACAAACAAATCTCTCTGGAGAGAAGTGCAGCTAGAACGCTCCTTAGATGTGAGGATGTCGAGGTTCTGTCTTTCCTACTTTGGACAGGTTGCCAGGAGGGACCAGTCCTTGGAGAAAGATACTTGGTAAAGTGGAGGGTCAGCAAAACAAAGAGGAAACCCTCCAACAAGATGTGTTGATGTGGTGGTAACAATGGGCTGAAACATCACAATGGTGAGGGTGCGACAGGGCAGTGTTGTGTGGTGCTTGGGGTTGCTATGAGTCAGAACTGACTGGAGGACACCTAATGACTTTACTTCCACTTGAATCTTTCCTTCGAGTATCATCTAGGTAGCTAACATACTGAACCTTTCATAGTTCTTAATATTTATATATCATTCCAGTACTCCTACTTCAAAGTGTTTAGTATTTTACAAAATAAATGAATGGTGATAGTGGAGGTTGTGGACCATCAAGTTGGTTCTAACGCAGCAACTTTATAGGTTTCCAAGGCTATGAATTTTTACTGTGGCAGAAAGTCTCGTTTTTCACCTGTGGAACAGCTGGTAGACTTGAACTGATGATCTTGTGGTCAGCAGCCCAACTTGTAACCTACTATGCTGCCAAGGCTCTGTGTATGAATAGTTGTTAAGTATTGTGAAGTCGAGTCTGTTCTGACTCAGCGATTCTGTATAGGGTTTCCAAGGAGAAGCTGGTGGGCTTTAATTGCTGACCTTGTGGTTTACAGTCTAGTACTGATCCTACAGCACCACACCAGGAGTCCATCTATGAATAGTAATAACCATTAATATTTATTGAGGACTTAACTTTTACCAGGTGGTGGTGTTTGTTAAGTGCCGTTAAGTTTGTTCCGACCCATAGCGACCCTCTAGAGAGTTTCCAAGGAACGACTGGTGAGCTTGAACCACCAACCTTACAGTTCAAACTGACTTTGCAGTCTAGCACATTAGCCCACAGCGTCACACTAGGACTCCAGGTTACTAGTGATTTATGTTTATAATCAAATTTTATCATCAATAAAACAACCCCCTCAAAAAAGAAAGAGGTCATAAGTACTGTTATTACTGCCATTTGCAAACAAAGTCCAGGCAGATTCCCAGTTCCACTATGAAAGCATTAGCCAACTAGTTCATCTTCCAGACTTCAGACATGTTATCAGGAGACACCAGTCACGGAGAAGGCCATCATGTTTGGTTAAGTGGAGGGTCAGAGAAGAAGAGGAAAACCCCCAATGAGATGGACTGGCACATGGACAAAAAAAAACCTACTTGAGGATGCCAGAAATTCAAAGCTAGAGAATTGCAGAAGGACGACAAATATCGTAGACAAGCAAGTTCACATGACTAGTTTCCTGGGTTGCTTTTTCTCCCCCATGTGCGTGATTTTGTTGCAGAGACAGACCTCAGTTGCAGTGGTGGCCATAGTGTGACTCATTCTGTAAAACCTAAGGAAAATAATCCATCTGGCCAGAAAAGGGGTCTCTGGGGATTAGAGAGTGAAGGACGCATAGGACTGTACAAGATTAACTACCGTAAAATGGTACATATATATGCTGTCATTCCTACAGCAATCACTAAAAAATAATACAAAGAGACTTAGCCAAAAACGCAATAGATGATTTGATGGTAAGTTTTTTTTAAATCAAGTAATTCAAAAGGAAAGAGTAAATAGTAGGGAAACAAACAGGTAAGCAGGACTCATCAGATGATACATCTAAACCCAATTTTATTGTTGCTAAGTGCCCTCAAGTCAATTCCAGCTCATATCAAGCCTATATAAGGTTTCCGAGGCTGCACGTCTTGGCAGGAGCAGAAGGCCTCATCGTTCTGCAGAGTGGCTGATGGACTCAAACTGCCAACTTTGTGGCTCGCACTCTAGTACCTATTGTACAGAGTCAATGTGCTCAAATGTTATTAATAATTACATTAAATATTAAAAAGCAAAGTTGACTGACAAAAAAGCAAACAATGTATATATTACCTGCATGAGCTACACTTAAAAGACATAAGTTGAAAGTAAACGCATGGAAAATAATATACAAACAGCATAAATAGACCTCGGTGAAGATGTTAATAATAGTCATAGATGCAGAAGAAACATTTCAAAATGATGAAAGGGAAATTTCATCAAGAAGACATAAATTTGTATGCATCTAATAGCAATTTCAAAATTCATAAAGCAAAATAGACAAAAAAAGGACAAAAAGACAATTCCACAATAGTGGATTTTAATACTGATGTTGTTAAGTGCCATTGAGTCGGTTCTGACTCGTAGCAGCCCTGTATAGTGTTTCTAAGGAGTGGATTGTGGGTTGGGACCGCTGAACCCGTGGTTAGCAGTTCAGTGTTTATAGCACCACACCTGGACAACAGCCATTGATAGAGATCAGTTAAAAAAAATCCAATGAAAATAGAAAAGATTTGAATGATGGTTATCACTTTGATCATATTACCATAGAACACGACATCTAGCAATTTCAAAAATACACCTTTTCTGAGCAACTTAGACATTGGCTATCTAAAATGAGAGGGCAATAAAGGCAAGAAGAGACTGGCTTACAA